TCTCACTCTGTTGCCCAGGCTGGAGCATGGTGGAATGCAGTGGCACGCTCATGGCTCCCGCATCCTCAACTTGCTGGGCTCAGGTGATCTATCTGCCTCAGCTTTCCAAGTAGCTGGAACCACAGGTGTGCACCGCCATACCCAGTTTTGATCAAAAAAATCAAAATTTTTTTGATTTACTTTGGAGAGAGTTCTCATCAGGTTTCCCAGGCTGGTCTCCAACTCCTGGGCTCAGGCAATCCTCTTGCCTCCTTCTCCCAAAGTGCTGAGATTACAGGCGTGAGCCACCATACCCAGCTGATGGCTTAGTTTAAGCACACAACTGCCCATCCAACTTTAGGGTAATTTCAAATCCATTCTGACTTGCATTTATCTGGCTCTTTGGGGACTTGATGAAGATTAATTTTTCACCCAATGACATTCCACATTTATTTCACAGTACAGTTGGCTGAACATTTGGGAGGGCAGGTGTAGATGCAAGTGGTATTTTTGACAAGATCTGAGAACTTTCCTGACACTAATGGATAGGGTGCCTCTGAGAAGCACGGGTGGGTTAGGTCAAGGCATGAAGGTTGCATTAGTTGGCTTACTGCCCACGTTTCCAAGGATAACATCCTTGTTGAATGCTTTGAAATGTTGGCTGCCGTGGTGATGAGAAGGCACTGAAGTAAGAGGGGATTGAGAGAGCTATTACAATATAGATGGGTCTTAACACCCATAAAATATTTTAACATTAGTGTTTCCTTTGGGTGAGATGACACATTGTCCAGTTCCATGGCACTGGTTGCCAGCATCAAGAAAAGCTTTCCTAGAAATCTGTAAGCCAGACAGGTCTCTGTCCTGCATGTTACCTTGGCATATCAGTAGGAAGGTTTTCAGTGGCAAGTATGGAAGCCACTGAATAACTGACCTTAAAAAAACAGGAGTCCTATTTTTCATCCTCCTCCTCCTCCTCCTTTTCTCTTCCTCCTCCTCCTCCTTCTTTCAATCACATGGCCGTACATCCAGAGAGAGATAGGGCTGCATTGTCTCAATGACTCTCTGATCTGGCATCTCTGAGATTCCCATGGCCTTTTCCTCATGGTCATATGATGGCTGCTCCAGCTCTAGGCATCACAATCTCATGCCATATTCAGAGGCATTAAGCAGAAGTTAGCTTCTTAAACTCTCTTATCAGGGAGAAAAAGGTCTTTTCCAGAAGTCCCTTAGCAGACTTCTTGTATCTAGTTGGCTAGAACTTGATTATGTAGTCAATTCTAATTGCAATGCATATTGGGAAAATAAGCATTGACTTTCCCAGCCTCTACTGTGGGAGGTAGGCAAGGGGAAGACTGAGAAAGACATCACGTCAGGTCATCAGTAAATTTACCATTTCCATATCCTTCTGCTCCTGAGCAGGGTTTCCTGTACCATTCACAACTTCATTTTTTCAAATGGGATCCTACTATGTTTCCCAGGCTATTCTCGAACTCCTGGGCTCAAGTGATCCTCCCACCTCAGCCTCCCATGTATCTGGGACTAAAGGTGTGCACAGCTTTGCCTGGTTCACACTTTTCTTTTAAGTGAGATTCAGACTCTGTCTGGTAAATATATGATATGTGTTTATATGTATATATCATAAGCTATGTCCACTTGATGGGCCACTCCTGCTGTTGGGTAGTGCTTGAATCAGGTCTGCTGTTTGGTCCTGTACATGTGTTTTTACATAGCAAGAGGTGAAGGCTCAAAGCAGTGAAATAATTTACCTAAGGTCTTCCAGACAACCTGATGGATCATGGTAATCACAGTTCACACTACCCTGCTTGTTGTTCCTCTATTCTGCTTCATCTGTTGATGGAGAGGCTTCTCCCTGTCTGGAGGAGAGGGCCCATGACTCATGCCTGGCCAATCATTGTCCCCTTTTCCTCCCTAATTGTGATTGGTCCAGGGATGGTCATGTGACCCAGGCCAGCTGCTTAAGGAGATCAACATGGCATAAGAAACTGATGCAGAGTGGGATTTCAGGGGTTCTGATCAGATTTTAAGCCCTGAAGCCCAGTTTCTGCTGCTCTTCTTTCCATCCTGAGCGCTTCCCCGGCATTCCTTACAATTAAGGAATTCAGTACATTCCTTAAAAAATGCAATAGCTATATTAAGATATAATTCACATAGCTAACAATTCTTTGAATTAAAGTATGGGTTTAAAGTCAGAGGTTTTTCGTGTGTTCACAGAGTTGTTCAACTATTACCACATAGGTCTTGGAACCTTTTTATCACCCCCAAAAAAGGCTGTATACCAGTCACTCCCCATGTCCCCCCAACACCCCTATCCTCAGGCAATCACCAGCCTTTCTGTCTCTGTGGATATGCATATCTAGACATTTCACATAAATGGAATCATGCAGTATGTGTTTCTTTGAGACTAGCTTCTTTCACTTGGAGTAATGTTTTTTTGTTTTTGCTGTTGTCTCACTCTGTCGCCCAGGCTGGAGAGCAGTGGCACGATAACAGCTCACCACATACTTGACTTCCTGGGCTCAGGTGATCCTTCTGCCTCAGTCACCTGAGTAGCTAGGACTACAGGTATGTGTCACCACACCTGTATTTATTTATTATTTTTTTGCAGATACTATTGGAGGGCACAGCTCTAGATGTGGATGTCTTTTGCAGACACAATCTGCTTATGAAAACCAGGTTCTTGGCATCTCGAACAAAGAATTGGACGAGACACACAAACAGTAGAAGTAGAGAGATTTATTAACTAGGAGAGGCAGTACACACCAGAGAATCTGCAGCGGGTTTGAGCATGAGAGCAGCTCAAGAGCTACTAGAGTTACATTCTGGGGATTCTGTATCTTTCAATGGGGTCGCCAGGACATTCATTAGATGGGCCCAGTACACGTCAGATGAGTCAGTATGTGTTTGGATGTTCATTGGATGGGCCCAGCACGTGGCTCTGTTTCATTGGCCCATTTCAAATGTGGCCCTCGTGGAAAGTTCACACCCAAAAGCTTCCCACCGGTGGGAAAAGGCTTCCTGCTGCAAAAGGCTGCTTTGGACATGCGTGTGCCCTACCCCGCCCGCTTCCCGCCAAGGATAGATTCCTGCCCCTTTCTCCCACTCTTGTTCCTGTCTCTCTTCCTGCCTCAAGACAAGATCTCACTGCGTCACCTAGGTTGTTCTCTAACTCCTGGGTTCAAGCAATCCTCCTGTCTCGGTCTCCCAAAGTGCTGGGATTACAGGCGTGACCCACCTTGCCTGGCTGGTATATTTTCAAGGTTCATCCATGTTGTAGCAGAGTACATTCCTTTTTGCTGGGATGGGTTGTGGTTGGGTTTCTAGCACTTGCAAACTAAAAGTGTGGTCAAGATTTGAAGCCAGGTCTGACAGGAATCAAAGCCATTATTCTTTCTGTTTTACTTGATGAGGCCAAATCATGGAGGGCTTGGAATGCCAGGCTAAAGAGTTTGACCTTTCGGTTATAGACTATGGGAATTGCTGAGCAAGGGAGTGACAAGTTTAGAGCAGTGTTTAAGTGAGACTATTCTGATGACAGTGATGTTTTGTGTAGGTTTTCAACCTGTATGACTGTGTATATTGTATAGCATATGCAGTTGTTTAAACACACAGATATCTTAGGGCAGAAGATTATGGCAGTAATTCTCAAACTAGGTTCCACAGAACACTAATACCTAATGAGAGGTGGTCCACGAGAGAATAGAAACAATGTGCCTTTTCTCTGGAAAATGCAGAAGGAACAAGTTTCAAGACAACCAGGGGGCTGCCAGTGTTCTAAGTGAACTACTGGTGCTGTCATCTCATCTCATCCTCCAGATGTCCTCACCCATACCTTGTGGCTGTCAGGCAGGGTGGGGGTTACAGCTAGGAGCCTCCTTCACTCTGCTCTGTTCTTCATCCTCTGTGATGGCTGATCTGAAGAAAACACCTGTCCCAGGTAAGCTGTCATATATAAAATAGCCTAATTCCCAGTGTCAGGAAAAGGGAGGAGCCTTCCTCCTTCCTTTTACTGGGCCGGGTCTTTCGTCCAGGACCACACAGTGTGGCAGGGCAGTGCCTTTATGGAGCAAATCTAAATGTGGAGAAGACAGTGCAGCGGCAGGAACTGCCCAAGATGCCTGAGGTGTCATGCAGCCCGTCCACAGTGGCCATGAGGACCCAGTACCCATGAGACAGAGGCCAGACCTCCCAGCCTCATCTGTCTGGCAGGACCTCTCTCGCCCACTTTCTCTTGTTGCATCCTCGAACTTCCTCCCCAATGCATACTGATCCGGGTCTTTTCCCCATCCTCAGAGGCCCCGCTCTAATGCCCTCCTCCAAGAAGCCACCGACCAACTCCGGCACTCCATTCTCTGCCACAAGAAACTCCAGGCTTTGTAGAATACTGAGTGTGGTTGTTTCTGGTGAGCAGTCCAGCCCCAGGGAGGAGAAAGCAGCATAAGGGAGGGATGGCCTGGTGCCAGCACCCACTGGCCCCAGAGGCCCTGGGCTAGGGTGAGTTGAAGTTGTTTTCATAAGGGGCTCTGAGCACAAGCAGAGGTGCCTCAAAGCCCCAGGGAGGAAGCATAGCCCAGTGTCAGGCCATCTCCTGACTAACCCAGGATGGGGTGGTCATGAAGCCCTCTGCGGCTGGTCTCTGGGGGCCTCTCCATCCTTTGTTGGCTCTATTCATCCTGCTCCTGTAAACAGTCGCTTCATTCTGGGCTCTCCCTAATTAACCCTTTTGAATGTGTCCTTTCTTTCCTGCCGGGAGCCATCAATACCAACTAATTCAGTTAAAAAACAATACCATGAGGTCTAATCACACCTGGATCTGCAGCCTGGATCCAGCCAGCCCATGGGAGCACGTTTGCAGATGATGGTGTATGCTCAAAGCACAACACGAGGCCAGCAGGTTGAAGCTGAGAAAACCATCCAGGCCAACACAGTGCTAGGGACAGCAAGCACACAAGGATGCCCATGTGAGACTGAAGAGGCAGTCCAGAAAAGGAAAGAGCCTTGAGATGTGTCCAACCAGTTTAATATCCGACGAAACCGTGCAAATGCTAAACTACAGAGCACCAGGGTTACAAGAGGCATGAAGGCCTGGGGGTGGGGGAGGGGGACACTACAACGTTGTCATGGGGAAAATGGGATCACCTAACATTGATGGGGTGGGGCGGTCCCCTGGCAGTTCGGACTATGACATTTTCCTTAGGGGAACCTGCATGCCTTCCCGAAAGTAGGAGAAAGCCGGCCGCCTTCACTCGCGAACATAAATTCTCGTGCAGACCACGTCATCGGCGCCAAACGTCTGCAGAGAAGAAAAGGAAAACCAATCAGTGCAGATGCCTGTGCAAAAATGTTTGAAGCATATCACTAATAAGGCTACTTATGACCCTGGTAAAAACTCTTTGTAACAGACATTCAATTTCCTGTGCCATGTGCTCATGCTAAGGGTTCCCCCCCGCCCTTAAGCTCCCTGTTGGCAGACAGGCAACCAGGGTATAGAATTATGTTATATAAAGTTTTCCTTTGCTTCTGAAACCTGAAAATGCTGACATAAGAAATGCCAGAAGCTTTGGTTTTAAAGTTAAAACTGCAAGGGGAAGAATATATTGAACCTTTCTGAAGTGGTTTTGTCTCTTTTCAAATGACTTCAAGAGAGAAAGAGGCTTGGGCAGCTGGAGACATGGGGTCCAGCTCAACAGCCAGACGGGACTGCTTGGGAGAAGGAATCATAGAACTGCTTTCCAGGAAGCAGCCATCTAGCCAGGAAGGGTGCATAAGTAATACTCAGGCCAAATGCAAGCTAGAAAATCAGTGTAGCCAGGAGCCATGGCTCACGCCTGTAATCCCAGCACTTTGGGAGGCAGAGGCGAGAGGATTGCCTGAACCCAAGGTTTCGAGACCAGTCTGGGCAACTTGGCGAGACCTCATCTCTACAATAAATAAAAAAATTAGCTAGGCATGGTGGTGCTTGCCTGTGTTTCCAGCAATTTGGAAGGCTGAAGTGGGAGGATCACCTGGGCCCAGCAGGTTAAGGTTACTGTGGCCACGAGCGTTCCATTGCACTCCAGCTTGGTGACACTGAGACTCCAACTCAAAAAAAAGAAAATTGGTGTCAGCTGCAAAAGCATATTGTTGGCATCCAGACCTGGCTCTGCAGCTCACAGCTGGCCAAGCTTGGGCAAGTGTCTTTCTCTTTTGGCCTGTTCAGGCAAAGGGGCGGGCTGGGGGTGCTGCTGAGAAGAGGGGTGGAATTGAACAAGATGATCCCAAAGTCTCTTTCCAGCTAAAAGTCTACAATTCTTTGTTTGTTTGCTGTAGGGAGAACACGAATCATTCCACAGATGGAGAAGGCCATTTTTTTTTTGGCCCCTGAAATGATATTGGTCTAAGTAAACTGTCTCAACTTTTCCAAAAACTAGCAATTACTCACAGGCCTGCTTTTGTGGGCTTCTCACAGGCAGTAAGAGCAGAGAAAGTAATATGTATGTCAAAAAACAAAAAACAAAAATTCCCCAGTCTGTAAACCTGACATGGGTATGTTTACAGATGTATGTTTATTTGCCAGAGGATCCTTCTCATTCAGATTCTCAAAGTGGCCTGAGATTCAAGGTTTAAAGTCACTGAACTCAGAGCTCAACTATCCTCAGATCTTCATATTCTTACTCCTCTGCAGCCCTTAGTTGGTCATCAGATGCTCTCAGAGATCATTTGCTAAAACATTATCCCAACACCTGTGTTTCAGGGAAATACTTCTAGTCCTTAGTGATTATGGAAGCAAATGCTCATCACTAGCTGCCTTTCTTTTATTTATGTATTTATTTTGGAAACAGGGTCTCATTCTGTTGCTCAGGCTGGAGTGCAGTGGCATGACCCTGCCCCACTGCAGCCTTGACCTCCTGGACTTAGGTGATCCTCCCACTTCAGCCTCCTGAGTAGCTGGGACTGACTACAGGTATGCACCATCACACCAGTCTAATTTTTGTTCTTTGTTGTAGAGACAAGGTCTCACCATGTTACCCAGCCTGGTCTCAAACTCCTGGGCTCAAGCAATCCTCCCACTTTGGCCTTTCAAGGTGTTGGGATTTATAGGCGTGAGCCACCACGCCCAGCCTGCTTTGCCCTCCTTCCTTCCCTCCCTCCCACCCATCTCTGTCTCTTTCTTCCCCCTTTCCTCTCTTTTTTAAAATTTAAATTAAATTAAATTAACTGATTTGAGTTGAAGTCTCACCGTCACCCTGACTGGAGTGCAGTGGTACTAATACAACCACTGCAGCTTCAATCTGCTGAGTTCACGTGATCCTTCTGCTTCAGCCTTCCAAGTAGCTGGAACTTTTTTTTTTTTTAGATACAGTCTCCTTCTGTTGTCCAGACTGGAGTGCAGTGGCACAATCAGAGTTTACCACAGCCTCGACCATCGGGGCCCAAGTGATCATCATCCCACTTCAACCTCTTAAGTAGCTGGGAATAAAGGCACGTGCCACCACATCTGACTAATTTTTAAAAAATTTTCATAGAAACAGGGTCTCATATGTTTCCCAGGCTGATCTTGGACTCCTGACTTCAAGCAATCCTCCTGCCTCGGTTTCCCAAAGTACTGGGATTACAGGTATTAGTCACCGCACTTGGCCACTAGCTTCTTTTCATACTAGTGACCTCTGGACCAGGTTGGCACAGTTATACCTACACATTCGTTGCTCTACCCTCTTTCCCTATGAATGAGAAATGCAAGTTATCCTGTGTGCTGGGGGTATGTGGTGTGGCTTTCCCACCATAAATCGACCTCTCAGATATCTGGAACCCTCGGAGCCATGTTAGTTTTCTGGAACTCTTTGAGTTCTACAGCCATAGACTGTCAAATGGAATACCAGCATTTGGGGATTTGACTCTACCCTGCAGTAACTATTCTAGCCATCTGACAGCACTCTCGGACTAACAAATGGCTTCATGACATGAAAAGAAATCTCCACATTTCCAGTCACTTTTGAAGTGACCTTCTCAGCCTACAAACTATGCTTAGAGGTTCCTGAAACAAACTCTCTGTAGAATATTCCTGAGTGGTTTGAGGGAGTATACTCAGTTTTCAAAGGCAGGCAACTTCCAGCCTGGGGGCAATTTACTGTTGGCGCTGGGAGAGCTTATTCCAACTTAACAAGGATCATTTGCCTCTTGTTATATGGAGACTGCATCGCCCTCCGTTTTAGATTTATTAACAATAATAACCCTTGAAACAAAAGTCTACATTTCAGATCCCAAATGCCAAGGATTAATGCACCCTCTGAGGCTTGTATATATGTTTGCTGAGCCAACCCGGGAAGGATATGGGGGGAAGGTGGGGGGGGTTGGAGGTGGTAGCGTCCATCTAGTAGGATTGGCTGCTCTTATGCTACAGAGGTTCATAAAATCACACCTTCTCAGAGCACAGCCATTCTGCATAACCCTCAGCTACACTCAGGAACTCTAAAATCATCTTCTTTGCTGCCTCTGGTAGCAGGAAACCATATGTGCCTTTTCTCCCAGATTTCCATGTCACAGCCTCAAATTGCTCCCCTAACCCCAGCAAGTATTACTTCCCTGGAAACAACATTAACCAGGTTGCAAATTAAGCTCATCTTTTCTCCGTGAAAGGAGAAAGCATGTTAAATCATCCTAGGAAAAGACAGAGGAGGATGGAGGAGAGAGAAACAGCGAGGATCAAGCAGCCTTAGTTCAAGTAACAGACAGCTCAATTTAGGGTCTTCTTGTAGAATAAACATGTAATTTCAGGGCTGAGAGGGACTTTAGGGATCAGACTTCAGCTCAAACTCTTATTTTATAGAAGGGGATGGAGCTTGGGAAGGGAAGGGCCATGCCCAGGTCACACTGCAAGTCCTTTCCTTGCACTCATCGCTGTCTTCTGGTCCCAACATTTCAGGGAAACAGGGCTAAGATGGGGTAGATGTTATCAAAATGTCTAATGGAGAACAAAGAATGGAATTTCCTGGAATTACCCAAAACAGCTTTTCCCTTTGCTAGCCTGGGGGGGAAAGGTGGTTGCCAAGAAAGGTTGGTTAGTTCTGAAACACAAAGTGAGAGTGACATGGGGTGGTCCTGTCCTCCCAGGCTTCCCTGCTCCTCTGCCCCCAAAAGGGGAGGAAGAGTATGATTCAACTACAGGGATTTCTAACTTGGCCACATCAGGTACATTTTATTTGGCTGGGAGGGAGTGCTTAAAAAAGTTTCCATCTGAATCCTTCCAGGGAAGAGCCCACCTTTTCCAATTCTGAAGGGGTTTCTCCCTCTACTTGGTGTCACACTCAGATACTTCCCAAACTAATATTGGTTGCCTGGCTTCCAAAGGCTACTGGAGTTTGTAAATTGGGGTAAAAATGTTCTCTAAGTCTCTGAGTGCTTGATGTGATAAAAATTTCTGAAACCTTTCCTGGCCAGAAAAATGGGGAATGAGAAGGGGAAAAAAAAGTCCTTTCTGCTGTGTGAGCCTGGGGACCTCACAGAGCCCAGGCATTTGAGCTTGCCGGGGGGAGGCTAGCTTAAAAGTATGTCACCGCCACTGGGATGTATCCAAGTGGACAGTGGCAGGCACTCAGGTCTGTCTCTAGCCCCTAGCCTGCCCTGTGAGCCACTCCACTTTCCTGCCAACCATTTAACAATGATCTCCTCTGACCTAAACTGTCATCTCTGGTTTTCTGCTCTAATTTTAATCCAGGGCACATGGTGTTGTTCTCTGAATGGCAAGTGAGGACTACATGTCTGTGGGCCCACATTGGGCATCATCTGGGGAACTCCAGGACCATTTCAGGGTCAAAGGGCCCTCACCAGGATAAGTTCGTCATTGGCCAGCTCACGGGTCCAGTAGGTTTTGGGGCCGTCCCCTTCTAGAAGAGTTTGCGTGCAGTGGATCTTGTTCTCATTCTCCCAAGTGGCTAAACTCTGCGGGCGGGAAAACCATTAGTGACATTAATTACAGTCTCAGCAGCGGGAGCGGAGACAACAATGAGCACCGGAAAATAATTGCTGTGCAGAGAAGCAACACATGGTCCCTCTCAGCAGGTCACAGAATCTTCTCGGCTGAGCCTATAAACCCAAATTCAGAGCATTGGTCACAGTTTTTATAAACTTATACACCTTGTATCACACACACACCCCTCAAAGCAGTAAAGCTTCAGGCAAGTGTTAACATGTTTAGGAATAAAATTTAGAGTATGCAATGATTCATTTATATAAAAATGAACTACTTCAAACAATTAGGATTTTAAAGGCAAGAACCGTCACATCAGAATCATAACATTTTAAAACAGTTAAGACACCATGTTTGTAACCACATCTGTTGTCAACACATCAGAAACGCATTCCCTGCATGGGTTTGGGATTAAGAATGTCCTTTCTGTTTGTTCTCCTCATCAGATGTAGTAATCCCTATTCTGATAAACCTGGGTGTCTCTGGCTCTGAGGCTAAAAATGCTTTCCAGGTTAGGTCCCTCTAGAAAAACAAACAGCTCTGAAGGATCTTCGTGCTGTTGGAGCAGAGAGGCGAAAAGAGGGATTCCCTGCAATTCTCCCCAGTGTCTGCACAAAGCAAACCATGGAACAGCTGGGATGGGGGTGTGGGGGAGTAGGCCAGGGTTGAATGTGCACATAATCACTTTTTAACTAACACATGGGACACATTCATTAGGCAAGGTGGGGCGGGGGAGGGGGTTAATAAAGCCCCACTCTCCAGACTGTTGTGTGAACCTTTGATTTTTTTTTCTTTTAACTCAGAATGTCCCTCCCTGGCAGTAGCCACAGTTGGATGTTCCCAAATTGAGCCCTGCCTAGTGCCAAGCCCTCTCCCTTGTACCCCCAGCCCTTCACTCTAGGCTGTCCTGCCCTTTTGTTTAGGGGAACAATGTGGTGACTTGGGCCTCAGATGTCACCAGCTCCAAGCATGAACAAGCTCCGACAATTCTGGGGGCCAAAGACTGCCTCCTGGGTCAACCTGCTCCTGAAGAGCTGTTTCTCCCTCCTTCCCCCAAGCCCATTGCCCAGAGAGTCCTGCTCTGAGATCAGCCCTGGCACCGCTCAGGAAAGGTGACAAAAACAATTTCTCACTCTCTGGAATGTTATGACTTTTTTCTTTTTTTAAACATTAGGGAAAGGGAGGCAGACATTCTGTCACTTTTTAAATAAGTGATAGAAGAGCAATGACTTTTCCATCTGGTTAATCAAACGCAATGTTTGCCCTTGCAAAAAAGAAATGTACATCCCCTAGCTTCTGTCCACTCGTTCACTCCCGAGGCCGAAGTATGGAGGAAAAAAAAAAAAACTCTTCCCCTTGAGCACTAAGAGAGGACACTTAGTCTAATTTCCCAGCCAGAATCCGCGTTGCTTTCGGAAAGATTTCGCCGTTCCTTTAAGGAACCAGGCTGAGGGCGGCGAAGAGAGATGCCCGGGCCATCGGGAGTGCTGAACTGGATCCAGAGAGTTCCCAGGCGGTCCACAGACCCAGGGGATGGGGGGGAGGGGTCGCAGGAGCTACTGCTCCACCTGGGACAGGAAACGTGACGACCGCGCGGCCCAAGAACCCGGTGGCCCCTGCAGCCTTCTCCTCCCACGCCGCCCGCGGTAGGCGCCGCAGACCGCTGCAAAAGCCACAGCCGGGAACGCGCCGCAACCGGAGCCCGCGCTTAATTTAAGCGCTGCTGTTAGCACCCTGCGAGGCGGCTTAGGGACGGGTTTGAGATGGAATGAGGGTAGTACTTTCTCCCGAGCCCAGGGCAAGCAGGTTGCACAAACCGTCTCTGCAAACAGCCCGTGCACACACCCTGCAAGCAAGGCGCGCCCCAGGCTGCAAAGAGAGACATGGGTTGCTCCGGCTGCGGTGGGCCACGGGCACGGAGCAGGGCCCCGGGGACGCTGCACGGGCTCTGGGGGCCTCACCCTGCACTTGCGTCCGTCCACTGTCTCCTCCTCGAAGCCTTCTCCAACCTTGAAGTTGATCTCCGTGGTGCGCACAGTGGTGGACGTCTTGATGTAGAACTGATCCCCGTCCTGGCGGATCTCCACGTGAGGCTTGGACGCAGCCGCCACAGCCACTTTTCTCAGCATGGCGTTCACACCTGCGCAGGGCGTATCACAGGCTCGGGTCACAGGAACTCGCCGCCGGTCGGGACCGGTCGGGCACGTCCCGTGCCCTCTGACTTCAGACAGGGGCCTTAAAATTGATCCACTCGTCTCCCTGGCCTCGCCCTCCTTTTCGAGATGAGAAACTGAGGCTCAGAGACGGTAAGTGGCTTTCCCCGGGCTGCACAGTGAATTCGTGGTCTGAAATTGAGTCCCCAAATTTAAAGTCCCTGACCCTCCTTGCACTCCAGGAATCTCTCCTCGCTATGATCTGGCACGAGATACAGACCGAGCCGTCGGGGAAGGCGCCAAACATCCAGCCGACGTTCGCTGAACGCGTGGGTCCCGGGCTCTACTCACTGCTCCGGGACGGGATGATCTATCGCCATGGGGACTCCCTCCTGCCTGGGGCTCCCCAGCGTCCACCCCCTCCGGAAACCGGGCACCCCGGGGACCCTTCTCCCTGTCAGGGCGCGCCCTCCTCACCAGCTTACCCAGCGCCTTAAGCAGCTCGTCGAAATTCTCGCTGCTGCGCATCTTCCAGGTACCAGCGAAGTTGGGCATGGTGGCGGAGGTGGCGGAGGTGGCGGCGGCAGGCGCGGACAGCGGCGGCGCAGCGGGCACCCTCTGAGCCTGCAAGGCGGAGACTGGAGCTCTGCGCCCTGCGCGGCGCGCCTGGAGTCACCCGGAGAGCGCCCCCACCCGCCGGGCTCCGGGCCCCGCCCTCGGCCCCGCCCTCCGCGGCCCCTACCCAGTGTGAGCTCAACTCTCCGCCCAACTGTGCCCCCACCCCACACCCCTCGGCGTTCCAGCCTCCAGAGGGCCTGGCACCCGCCTTCCAACTCGGGGCGCCTCCGCCACCTTCAGACCGCCCACATCCTGCTTTAAAACGGGTGGTGGGAGAGGGTTAGATGAAACAAGATTGACCAGGAGGGCATAACTGTTGAAGCGGTGGGGGGGGCGGGGAGGAGGTGGTTGAGGACTCATTATACCCTCCTCTCTACTTTTGTATATGTCTGAAAATATCCATAACATCAAGTGGGTAGTGGGACCATCGGGAGCCACTCACCCTCCCTCTCCCTCCCCCTCCCCCCGTCGGCCTTCTGGGTGTCCCCTCCCCTACCATCCGAGATCCTATTTCGCGTCACCCCCCTTCGGTCCCCCTACCACACACACACCCCCACTGGACGATTGGGAGCCAGCGGCGGGAAAGCCCCAGTCTCCATCCACACCAGCCTGGGCACGGCGACGTGAAATCTAGGCTCGCGCGAGATTATGGGTTATCCACGTCTGGAAGGCAGGAGGGAGCCCAGGCCACTGCCCCTTTGTCGGCGACTCTGGACCGGCTGCGGGGTGGGAGGGGTGGACTGAACGAACTCCAGAACCTGGAGTAGGTGCGGCCTATTTTGCAGAGTAGTGAGACTTTGCTCCTAAATACTCATTATACCTAAAGTCCCCTCAAGTGTCCCCATGAGGAGAGCTCCCCGCGGAGCTGTTGTGTCTACAGCATGGGGGGCAAGATAGGGGTGCCATCCAGCACCACACTTCAACACTTCACTTCTTACATCTCTTCACTGCAGACCCCACGTTTTCCTTGCAGCCTTTTCCACTATTTCGCCATCTGGGCACCTCGGCTCAACTCAACATTCTAAAACCTGCCATGCATCATCCTGTATCTCAGCCTTTGCCCATGCTGTGTGCTCTTTCTTCAATGCTCTTTTCTTCGTCACGTTCATAAAATCTTGCCCATTCACCAAAACCTATCTTTATGCTGTCTCTTTTGTGAAATTCAGTTTCCTAATCAAATGTCATTATTTTTCTCTGAATTTGCAGAATCCTTCATTGTTTGGTCTTGCTCTTGTTCAAGCCTTTTTTTTTTTTTTTTTTTTTTGAGTCAATCTTACTTGTTCCCACAGACTGTGATCATGCAGTGGCATGATCACAGTTCACTGCAGTCTCAACCTCCTGGCTTAGGGAATCTTCCTGCCTCAGCCTCCCAAGTAGCTGGGACTACAGGTACACACTATCACACATGACTTTTTGTTTTGTTTTGTTTTGTTTTAAGAGACGAGGACTCACTATTTTGCCCAGGCTGATCTCAAATTCCTGGCTCAAGCGATCCTCCTGCCTCTACTTCCCAAAGTGCTGGGATTACAGGTGTTAGCCACTGCACCTGGCCTTAATCTAGTGTTAACTTTGCTACGAACTGAACTCCTAGAGGGCAGTGATTGTTTATCAACTTGTCCTCCCTTTCTAAGGCTCAGTAAGGTAGGACTCAATAATGATGCCTTGCTTTGAGGAGGATGTAAGTGTAGGTGTGGGGGTGAAGATTCCCTGAGGGCCTGGGGGAGTCTGTACTGAGTGCCTACTGAGCAGGGGGCTGGACTCGAAGTGGCTGGGACTGGAAACCTGCTGGAGGCCCCAGGAGCTGTCTAAGAAAGCAACTGAGGATGGGGGAGGGGAGAGAGGCCACCACCAGCTGAAAAGGAGCATGGGCAAGGCCGGATGTGCCTTGCAGTCACACAGGGCCATGCACTCAGAAGGGCCTGGTAGTTGGGATGGAAAATGGAGAAGCAGGAATGCCCTGCTGTCACCAGCTTGAACGTCTTAATACTCTTTGAACAAGGGGTCCTGCGTTTTCGTTTTCATTTCACTCAGATCTGCAGATTAAGGCGCTGGTCCCAGGTGTGGGAGGCAGAGGCTGGAGCTGCTGTGGAGTAACACCCACTTTACTGAGGGTCTGTTGCGTCTACAGCAAGGGGGCAAGATAGGGGTGCCATCCAGCTAATGCAGGCCTCTGCCCCCATCCAACACTCCTCCCCAGCCAGGCTTCAGCCATCCTAAGGGCAGGCCTGGGGAGGGCCAGCGAGCCTGGAAGCAGCACTGCAGTTTCTAGCCCAGGGCAAGCCCGTGAAGATGGTCAAAGGGCTGTGGACAAGGCCAGAGGTGCCCAGCGGGACCCACAGCAAGGCACTGCATGGACGAAGATGGAAGGCAGGAAAAAAGGAAGGAGGAGGAGGGAGTCATAGAGAGGATGGGACATGAGGGCCCAGGCGAAGGGGCCCAACCCCCAGGTCAGGGCTGCCATGGCAGGAGGACAGGATGCTGTTGTCCAGGCGCAAAGCAAGGGCAGAGGAGAAGCCAGGAAGCCCCATATCTCACCAGGAGACACGTGGAAGGGGGTGGAAAGGCTACAATCACCAGCCTGGGGATCCCCAGGGGAACCCTGGAGCCAAGAGGGCAGCAAAAACACCACCACCATCAGATGTCTGTGGACCTAGCTCAGGATCAAAGCAAGGACCTCTGTTGGGTAGAGACTTGGGCCTCCGAACAGATGGGCAGAATCCTCTGAACCTCCCTGCCTTTTCTCCTTCTCTCCTTGTACCTTTCCATTCACCAGCCCTTGCCAGCCATGTCTGTGAGTAAGGAACTGCATGCAGTTCTAGAGATGGTGACCAGTCAAGATCCAGATGCTGTCTCAAAGATTCACTGTTTATATAGGGGGTACCTAGGAACGCTGTGATCTCCATCTGGGCTAATAGTGCCTGAACGGCAGGTATGTAGCCTAGCCTGGGCTGAGCCTTAAGAGTGGCTCCACACTTGAGGCTAGGAGTTTGAGAACAGCCTGGACAATATAGCAAACCCCCATCTCTACCAAAAGTTTTTAAAAATTAGCCAGACATGGTGGCACATGTCTGTAGTCTCAGCTACTTGGGAGGCTGAGGCAGGAGGGTTGCTTGAGCCTAGAAATCCAAGGATGCAGTGAGCTATGATAGCCCCACTGCACTCAGACTGGACAACAGAGCAAGGGGGAATAAAAGTGGATTCAGAGAAGCTGAGGAGTTGTAAAACAGAGATATGTATCTGGGGGCCACGTGTCTCTTGGCCTGGCTGGATTTTATAGCCTGAAGGAGGCAAGGTAGGAGGTGAGCCCTAAGAGATGAATCAAAGTCACTCCCCTAAGGGATCAAGGGCTACGAATGCGGTGTTCCCGGTGGACACACAGAAGGGATGTCAGCAGAGGTGAGCCATGGCCCTATCACACATTTAGGAAAGTTGCCACTGCCGCAGTGTGGGGAAAGGGTCAGAGGGGACATGCACATGTCCAGGGCCCAGGGAGGAGGCCGCTTCCCTGAAGTAGGCAGCCGGCAGGAATGTCAGCAGTGGACAGGAGCCCGGGATGGGCCAGAGAGCAACGGTTCCCTAAGGCCAGTCTGTGATTGGTGCCTGCCATCACAGCAGCCTGAGGAGTTTTCCAGGAATTCTGATTCCTAGGTCCCAGCCCTGGAGATTTGGATTCTATAAATCATAGAGAGGACCCAGAAAACTGTGTTTTCCAGGCGATTCTCCCTGTACAGCCAGGCTGACCCTACAATACAACATGTCTGGTGGGTTGGGGAGGAGGGAGCAAGAGACTAGAGTGACTCTCGGATGTCTGCGTGGCATACCCAGTGGTCTCATTGGCTACTCTAGGGAGCACATGGATGGGAGACTGTTTGCGAGGTGTTGGGTTCGAGTTGTTTGGGGTGTCCAGGCTCCAGTGGGCAGTGGGACGTGTGGTCCCGGAGATCAGGAAGGAAGTCTGAGTTGGAGACAGGAGACTGTCTGTGTCCATAGAACAGTTGAAGATATGAGTATGGGTGAGATATGCAGGGACAGGCCACAGAAAGAGAGGTACAGAAGGCCAAGGGTAGAGCTTGGAGAGTCTCAATGTCTGGGGGGCAGACGGAACAGGTGACATCCAAAGGAGGCAGGAGGGAAGGAATCGGAGAACCAGAAGATGACATCTTCCCAGACAAGGGACACAGGAGGTGTGAACCTACAGCAACAGTGCTTCAGAGGGACAGCAAGTGTCCCTTGGACGGGCAGCAAGATGGTCTTGGCGGCAGTGGCTGGAGGAGTTTCAGGAGGTGGTGGAGCCTGAAGGCAGGCTGCAGTGGGTTGAGTTTGGAAAGAAAAGAATAAAATTGGAATCAGGAAATGTACATGACTCTTTCGCAAAGCATGACCATGTAGGGGAGGAGACAGATCAGTTGGAAGTTATAAGAGGAGCGCAAAAGACCATTCGAACTTTTGTGTGCATTTCGGATGGAAGCATTTGAACATCTTGATAGGCTGAACACAGGTGGGAGAGGAGAGGACCCAGAGCACAGTTGGAGGGGTCTGTCTGCCTTCCAGGTGAGGAAGCCAGAAGTTGGGGCAGTTCCTGTCTGTGTCCTCTCCTGTTCCTGTGAAATGGGTCTTCTGCAAAGAATGAGGGTTGCAAGGCGGAGCTCTTGATGAAACCTTGGGAGAGCCCCTTCTGGAAACAGGAGAAGTGACTCAGGAGACACAGAAATGGTGCTGGGCACCAGGCTGGGCTTCAGGGAGGTGGGAGGGCAGGATGGGGCTGGTTCTAGTGGAATGTGCCTCCCTCTGGCAGCTCTGGGACACCTACCTAAAGGGGTCGAAATAGTGTGTGTGTGAACTGATGAAGAGACAGAGAAGGGCAGAGCAACTGGGAGTGGTGAGAGAAAGGGTTGAGACAAAGGCCCAGGGGGTCTGGGCAGAAAGGGGAGGGACGTGGAGCCAGGACCGGACTTAGTAGACAGGAAGAAAATGGAGGCGCTTGAAGGCCTGAACGTCCTGGGAGACTGAAGGACTGG